GTCATGTATACGATATGTCATATGCAAGTAAAACACACAAAAACTATAATGAAAGTAAGCTTATGCAAATAATGATAACCAACATACAATAAACGTTGGGGCATTCACACACTCAACACCAATTAATTATCTGGCAAATACAACAATTCCACTGAAGCATGACGCAACGCCACCGGATCCGCGAAGCTTGTACAAGCGGATAGAAGGCGTTTACAAACTACTACATAATGCCATGAGATTTGCAATATTCATACAAGTGGACAAAAGACATCTACAAGCTTCCAAACAGAATGTTGCGCACACTCAAATGACATTACTTGCATGGCTGATTTACGTCAAGTATTTCAAAATACCCTTCTGCATGCATTGCAACATGCAGATCTTATTATGTGAATATACAAGCACTTGCATAAGTACATATACACATAAGCGCGTACAATATATATATTCATTGTATATGTATGACAATCATATAACTGCATGGTAGAAAATGCATGCAAAATTATATACCCGTATGCGCCCCTACGAGTACTTCATGGGTACACACATGATATATGAGAATACCGCACAGGTCCAATGATGAATTTAAAGTTTGAGCTAGATACTTCTATCGAGTAGTAGGATTTGACATGACTCAAACTATCAAACAAATATACGGGCCACGACGTCGACCAAGATATTTATTTTATTACATTTATATTAGGGTTTCAAGACCTATAACCAAAAAAATTAACCAATAAAGTAATACACTCTATGAAGAACCCGATCCTTATCGGTAAATAGACAGAGTCAATAATATTTAATCCACAAATTAAATTATCCATAATTTCACCCTGGTAATGATCGTGTTGAATGTTAATCTCAATCGGAGGGATTAACTCAAAATATTTCAAATAACTCTCAAATTCTCGTGAAATTCAAAATTCTAATAGTTACAAAAAATCAAATATTTAAAATTGAAATATATCATCAAATGTTTCAAGAAAAACTCATACACCCTCCGTATTAATTTGTCAAGGAGGACAAATATGAAAATTGCTTCAGTTCATAAAGAGCTGATATCTGGTCGAGAATATCATTAAGATTGGTTCTCAAATAATTTCTTACTAGTAAGGACATGACATTGGTCATTTGATCAGCGGTTTGGCCGGATGAAGGTCTAACACACTTGCCCTTTAATGAACTGTGGTGTTTGCACTACAAACCTCATTTTCCACTTGTAGGCGAAGTGTTATATGCCTGAAAATCTTACCACAATGATTTGTAGGGGTACATAATTGCCTGCTGACTCTTGATTCTTTCCTGTAAATATCATCTGCATTTGTGCCCACAAGTGATCTACTATGCTCACAACATATGAGTTGATATTATCTTCAAATAGATTACACCAGCCATCATTTCTTATGAGTAGGCTACTGCGTATTCATTTGCAAGTTGACTAACCTTGATGGCAAGGAAGCTATTTCCTTCACCGGTAAGCGTATTACATTCATTGCGTATGATTTCTAGCTAATTGTCATATTCATTACATGCCTCTCATTGTTTACATCTAAACAATTCATTATGCATGTTATTGGTTATTCGTCACATTGATTGTTGATTCATGACATTAGTGATAGCATCATCATTATTGCTAGTTGACATTTACACTTTGATCGTTATAATATTGTAGCATTCATTATAGATTTCATATTGCGAGCTGTAAGCCCGTGGTGTTTGTTGCGTGCTTTCTATGCTTCACTCACGAGCATATCACATGTTCCTACTATCATTTATGGATAGTTCATTGTGTGCATTGGAGCTCATCTATTACTTGATATATTTACTTGCAATGGTTCAAATGCAGCAGGTTCATTAATATTCATTGTCGTTTACAATCATCCTCATCCATGAATATTCACAAGCTTTCTGTAGCTACTTGTAAGTGAACCATTGTATTTGCAGTAGGTTCATGTTCTTGATTATAGGCACATTATTCTATTCGGTATAAGTCCTCAGCATACACTTATATGAGAATGTCGATCATTACATGTTCTGTATAGCCACTTGTAAGCATATTTTTGGGCACGTTATTAGTCCTTATTCATTGAATTTTATTTGAACATTAGGGCTATTAATTAGCATTTGCATTTTAATGTGAATGTGCATTTTCTTTATTTAGTGTCTGATTATTTGTGGTCCAGTGTTTAGTTTGAGTCCTTGCCATTTGATTCAAATCAACTTCATATCCCTTGTTTAGTTGTTCAAGTTTAGGTCCTCTGATGTTCATTTAAATTCAAATCAGGTCCTCTGTTTGTTTGTATAAGTTCTGTGCATTTCAGCAACCTTTAGGCATCTCCCATAGTCCCATGTTTAGGGAAATTCTAGAATCATAGCATTCCCCTCCGCGCTACGTGAGCGGTTCAGGAAGGTGTTGGACGACACTACGACCGCGTTTCTTCAATCACCGCCATGCTACGAGAGCGCTTAAGGGTTTTCGAGGCACCTATTTAAAAACACATGATTTTCTTTCAGCCGCCACGCTACACAAACGCTTAAGGGTACTTGAAAGTGTCTTCGTCATGGTACGAAGCGTGTGCAGGGGGTTCTCCAGTGCGTCGCGAACGTCAAATGCAAGATTTTTTTAAGTTTTTGAGGTTATACTTACGTGAATGAAGTCGACTCAGCATTCTCACAATGAAGGCGAGCATTATATTTTAATTATAATTTAGGATAATCAACGATGATTAATAATAATTAATCATAGTTGATGATAATTAACTATGATTAACTAAAATTAATCATAATTAATAATCATGAATTATAATTAGCTATTGTCAATTATAATTAATGATGATCAATTATGATAAAAAATAATTAATCATAATTATTAATAATTAATTATAATAAATTAATGATAATTCTTTTAATTAGAATATTAAAAATCATATTATATATTATAGTTTATATGATAAAAAAACCCTAGCCCGCTGCCCGCCGCACATCTATTCATTTCGCCCTAACTACACGCGACGCGTCGTGCGGCCTCTTCTCCCTCGGTCGACCGAACAGGTGCCGACAGCCGAGTCCGCCGGATCTCCGTCGTCCTCTCATCCGACCCGAGACAAAGTCACGCAAAGACCTTCTCTCCGTCGTCCTCTCATCGCGATCGACCGAACAAGTGCCGAGTGCCGATTCAATTGCGTCCGGCCATCTCTTACGCGACTGCAACGGTGAGCCGACTCCAGGTAATTTCTTCCCTTCGGTTGCTTCATGGTGAGGCGAGGCAAAGCCGACTCCAGGATTTCTGTTCAGAGAACTTCAAGCTTGGACCGCTTGGTCCTTTACTTTTTCTTCAGAGATCTATTTATTGAACTTTAATTTAGTTTTCTGTTTAGCAAATCTGAAGTTCCGAACTAAACCGTTTCTGTTTAGAGAAGAATTTTTTTTTAGGTTTCACTGTACAGAAAGGATTTCATAAGATAAAAATCTTTTTTTTTGTTTATGTTTTTATTTTATTGGAATAGATTTCGATGATGTATGACTTTGCTTTGAAAAAATTGATCATGCTAAAGCAAATATTGGAAACACCTTCAGGTAGTTGCTACAGTTCTGTTGGAGTGAAGAAGAACTTTTTTAGCCAGAGTGAAGAGCAAACTAATCATCATCCTTCAGGTAGTTGCTGTAGTTTTATGTTTAAAAAGACTTAATGTGCTGTTATTCTTTATCCAATGTGTTGTTATAGTCTGTATGTAAAATTTTACAAATCATGCATGTGCCTAGATTTAGTTCAATGTGTTGTATTGCTGTTATAGTGTTGTTGTATAGTTGAGTCCTTTCTGTGTTTTAAATGGCTACTTTTGTTATAATTAATAACAAAAGTTTGGGATCATTAGTTTTGTGGGTTTTGAAGTATAGGTTGTATTTTGATTCTCTAACTTGTAGTTAAAAAAATTAGAATTATTATTTAGATGTTAAATATATTTTCAATTCTCATGTTATTATGATTTTTTTTAGAATGTCAACGTCTATTAGTATGGAAGGGGATAATATTGAGCCTGCAAATATTGAGACTGAAAGACATGATGATCATCTTCACTCCTATGTTGATAGTCACCTTTGAATGAATAATAAGCAGAATGCTAACAATGAGATTGACGAAGAGGTTGAAAAGTGGAAGCAGAAGGATCTCACGATAGCAAGATCGAGAGCTCGAGCGTGAGGAAGGCCGGTCGGATACTGGAGACGGAAGCTGGGCGTCGGGTATGAGATGAAAAGTCGGTCGGTGCTGCTGTGATCAGAAGTCGGAGAGGGAAGAGGCGTTGGCGGCTTGATTGGGGTCGAATGGATGAGGACAAAAGGAGGAGGCGGTTCAGGTCTTATAGGAGCTTTGTTCGACAGAGAGGAAGGGCACGTTCGAGTTCTGGATGTCGGATGGGAGGCGTGGAGGTCGGGAGGTAGAAAGGAGATTAGGGTTCACCCACCAACCCAGCAAAGCCCGGTGGGGGTGTATGGAGTACTGTAGAAGCGGCTGATACGGACAGGATTTGATCAGGTAATCATTTTAGCAATTTTGTACCGCAGGGGTCAACACTCCTGACAGTCGTGTATTTTATACATTCTTCTCATAGCATAACTTGAGACTGCTAGGCAGAATGAATTGATTTTGCATCTAAAAACATGTAAAACTGTATAGATTTTTACTTCAGCAAGACTTACCTGCAAATTTGAATCTTTTGTTTATAGCACTACTTCAACCTCCCACAATCTTAAATTTATCAAAAACAATGCTGAATGAAAATAAAAGATTGGCATCTGATGCAAGGGTAAAGCTAAAGACAGAATAATTATTCCCCTACCCTTCTTTATCCCATATTCCAGTCTGCTCCCTTTATCTACAAGAAATTCCTTCCTAAACTTCTTTGGCGTAATTTCTCCTATATTATCTTCCCTTGTCAGCGGTCTTAGATATCAAATTAGAAGCACATGCAAATACTCGTCCTCCTCTCTTTCTCTCTACAATGGCTCAAAATAAACAGCGACAGCAGAAGGAGAAGAAGGAATGCTGGTCCAATAAGCCTCAAGCATGCCTTTCTCTCTTGTCTAGTCATCATTCTTCTCCTTTTAACGTGAAGGCTGCTGTTGTTGTGTTTAGGAACTCACGCTTGTCAAGACCAGGGAAGCTCACCACTCTCCAGCTCTATAGTAGTAGCCAAATTGATCAAAGTAAGTGCATTGTAATGATTAACAGGGAGTATTTAACTGATTTTCTTTTTTTTAGGGGAATGGGTGACTGCTCTTTTTTTTTTTTTTAACAAAAGGGAAAATTTTAATGTTATAAAAGAATTACAAAAGAAATGATTAAATTCCCACAAAAGAAAAAAAAGGAATAGAAGAATGCAGTGCAGAGTAGAAGTATATACAAAAAACTTAGAAAAAAGCTTCTGAACAGAAAATGATTTAGGACTTCTTCACAAGCTGCCAAACGGTTTCCGAACAATTTTCCAACTGAATCTCTTATATGGCCACCACCTCTAGCAAACAAATTAGCAAAGCAACCATTATAATTCACTTTCACTTCATCAGAATTTGGTTTCAACCAGAAAATTGAAGGAAACTTCTTTTCAATGGTTCAACAACCATCTAGTCGAGCATATTAAGGTTTCGTTTGGGATAACTTTTTATTGCTTATTAAAGCAGCTTTTTAGTATAAATTTTTTAATTTTTACACTAAAAAGTTGTTTTAAGAAGCAGTAAAAAAGCCGCCCCAAACAAAGCCTAAGTCTTTTTTCAGGACAACTTTCTTTACTAATTTATGTAACAGTTTTTTAGTACAAAAATTTTTTGAACTAGAAATTTTTTTTTGCATTCCTATGCATGGAGAAGATTAAGGCTTCGTTTGGGACGGCTTTTTTACTGCTTCTTAAAGCATCTTTCTATTGCAAAAAAATAATTTTTGTACTAGAAAGCTACTTTAAGAAGCAGTAAGAAAGCCGTCCCAAACGAAGCCTAAGTCTCAAAGTTATAATGGGCACATGCTAATAATTTTCCTTTGAAAATAGGCATCAGTGCATTCCATTGAATCTTACAAATGATTTCATTATTTTTTTTACAAAATTGATTAATCATGTTCTATTGAGGATTAAATTCCTAATTTAAATAAATATACAAATCATAAATACATGGGTCATGGTAGGAGGACCATCACCAAAATTAGATTGTTGCTTGGTGGATGAAGCATTTTCATCGTTATATTGAGTTAGTTGAGAATGATTTATGTGTAAGCTTTGTATAATAAAGAAAGCATTTCTACTTCAGTGTTTTCTATTTATTATATTTAGCTCTTTAGAAAGGGAGGATGTCTCTTCAAGGAGTGCAACTTCTCTTTGTTGGAAAGAGGAGCTTTTGATGCATGAAATCAAAGTAATTGAGTTATGAAAAAATTATTTTTCTGATATATTATAGATTTAGAGGCTATAGTTGTCGTACCTAAAAAGCAACTGTAATAGATGCTGAAAGGAAACAAGTTAGTAAGGCTTATTGAAATGTTGGGTGGCATGGTCTTTGCGCTTGAGTTGCCAAAAATTATTATAGTTATAGTTAAATACTTATTGGAAGGATTCGTAGAAATGTTAAGATGACATCCTTCCTTGGTTCAATTTTGTTTGGAAGGTGTCTGACATAGGGCAAACCTCCTTACATCTTAAGTAGTCCAACTGACTGATGATGAGCTAGTTGTAGTTATTAGGGGCAGAGATTAAAACATACCAATGCCATGTCCAAATAGAGATCGAACATATGAGAACTTATTATTGTCTAAATAAAGGTCCAAAGCTATTTCATAATTACCTTCTGGCTTACATGAACTTTTTTTTTTTTTTTAATTGCATAAAAAAATTAGTTCCACATAAACATCATTTTCTTTTCACATAGACACAGGAAGAGGCAAGCTTAGTGAAGAGAGAAATCTCAAGGAAGGAAAGAATACAAAGCATGGAAGTATACCTACTATCACTTATCGTGTGAGTTTTAGCCTATGTGAAGACTTTGGAGTGCTGGGAGCCATTCAAGTGAAGAACGGTGATCGAAATGAGTTCTTCCTCCACTCAGTGACTGTCATGTTCATCGATGATCTTGGTAACTGGTCCCATAAAGCCCAGTTTGACTGTCGGTCTTGGGTCTACCCGGTGAGGCTAACCAATGTTGGTCGCCTCTTCTTTTCCATAACAGTGAGTAGTTGTGATTTGGTTGGATGTCTGCTAACTTTTAAATAAGAAGTATTTCCAATGTTCATTATTCGACTAAAGTTGATCATTTTAGTTGCATGCTTGGTCTGTTTTTAATTGCTTTGATATGCAGAGCTACTTGCCGAGGCAGACGCCAGAAGCATTACAGAAGCTACGACAGGAAGAGCTTGTGTGCTTAAGAGGAAATGGAAGGGGAGAGAGAAAGGAGTGGGAGAGAATATATGACTATGCTTACTACAATGATTTAGGTGATCCAAGCAAAGGCATAGCGCATGAACGACCTGTTCTTGGAGGATCAAAATCCTATCCTTATCCTCGTCGGATTAGAACTGGCCGCCCTCTTAGTGACAAAGGTACCTAATTTTATTTATTTATTTATTTAAATACATACCACTTTATATCATGCTATTTATATATCTAATACTCAGAACTTTAATATTTCATGCCTAACACCCATAGATCAAATATGAGTGCAATAAATAAAATATTAAAGTTTATAGGGTGATAGAAGTGAAATATAAGAGTGATATTTTTGATATTAAAGTTGTTTATAGATGATATACATGAAATATTAAAGATTTGAGTATTAGATATGTAAATAGTGTGATATAAAACTGTATGTATGTAAATCCCCCTATTTTTTTTCTTGAAGAAATTTGTACTTAGGTGGAATTTTGAATTATTTATGTTAGTGGTTAGTTGATTAGATGTCACATAAAGTGTCAGTCATTTGATGACCCTATTAGAAGAGTAGTTGTATTAGATTTGACCTATGGTTAGACATGTAGAGGTATGCCTAAAAGACTTGGTTAGGCGGTATTAAAAATAAATTTTCATTAGATTTTAAAGAGAATTTGACTCTTAATAAAATATAATTAAAAAAAGGATTTGTGTAGCCGACTGTAAATGCTTGCTATTGTTGTTATTGTTGTTGTAGTGTTTAATTGCATTGAATAAATCAATAATTTAAATTAGAATTTTAACATTAAAGAACCAAATGAATTGTAATTTAGAGTTTAGACATCATTGATAGTAATATTATATGAACTATACTTATATATTAGCAATTTTTTTTTAATTTTAAAAGATAAACTTTTATTTCATATTAAATAAAGATCACAAAAATAATGTTATCAATGAAGTCTTAATTAATTCTTCAATAGCTTTTTTATTCAGAAGTTTCTCTTAGAGATCTCAAAGTAAGATGTGTTAGAAATTTTTATAAGCATTTTAGAGTAAAAGAGTGTGTGTAAGACCTAAAAATAGGCATGTAATTAAAGTGTTTTATGTGTCAACATATTTGAAGTTTCAACTGATTAGCTTGTACAACATGTTTGTTTAAATTCAAAATAGAATACTATAAAGATCATTCCAATGCTAATTCACAAATCAATCTAGAGTCCTATAAAGTACTAGTTTATTTTATTTCTTTGTTAGCTAAATTAAAGCAAATCTTTTAGCTTTTTTTAAGTGGTCTTGGTTGGATCTCATTATATTCGACTCATTCTAGCCAAAGAATGTAGTTTTTTTCTAAATAAATCAGTCCCTATCAAAGCTTTCTAGAGTATTTTTCCTCGTTGACTATATTTATTCCTATAATTTTAGAAATTTTAGTTTTTAATCCTGTTGTAGCTGTAATAACCATTATCTTACACTTAGACCTCTAAAGAGATGCCATATCTAAACACTTCATGTATGAGCCAACTATTATTTGATGAATATTCCATAGAATGTTATAATGTCTCTATATCATTGATCATTATTTCTCTCAAAAATCATAGTCTTTGCTAGGCAGCTAACCATTTGATGTCTCTATATGGTGTCTTAAGATTATATGTCAATTTTAATAATTTTGACCTAAAGGGTAGCAAATTATTGTTTAGCTTTCTTATTAAAGTTAAATTGATTAAAAGTTAATGTTTTTGTACAACATTTTTGTGATTAATGAATAAAATGAAAGCTAAAAGCATTTTCACATCACTTTGTACAATCTAAAGAGAGATAGGACGCTAATCATGAGAATTTAGGAAAAGGAGAAGAAGAAAGGAAAGGAAGGAGAATTTAATTTTGGTTTTTTTACCTTGGATAGAATTAAAGCCTATTGGTGGAATCATGCTAAAAAGTATTTTCCCCTAGTTTAGGAGACTTATTGGTGGAATCATGCTAAAAAGTATTGTTATACTTGCATATGAGATATAAGAGTTTCTCCTATAGATGTTTATGGCTCTATAGTGAATCAGATTATGTGGGCCCATGGTGTAACATTAAATATCATAATGGAAAGGTTTGGAGAGTTTTAATGAAGTATAATGCTGATCTAATGTTGTAATTAGTTATGTTACATGGAACTTTTTCTCTATTGCTCCTTACCACAATGCATTTTATGCATCAAAGTTGGATTTGATTGAAATTAGGAGCAATGTAATGATTTGGATGGTTGTCAAGAATAATGTATTGAATTATGTCAAATCTATATGATCATCTCCTTCATGGGTTACTTGATGGAGTAAAATGAGACATTAACCTAAATTTTCCATTTCAAATTTATGCATGATTTCATGCAATTATATTAAGAATTGAATGAAAACTCATCTATAAGAGTAAAATGATAAACCATAATGTAAATTGGTAAAAGTAATGATCTTGTAGTTGAGGGTCAACATTAATTTATTATAGATGCATTTAGAATTAACTAAGAATTAATAATAAGTAACTTGTATTACGTGAAGGAGAAAATATGAATAAGAGGATAAGATACTTTAATAAATGTACCAAGTATAGTAAGGTAATAAGAGTGGTTAGTCAAATAAGAGGTTTAAGGCAAATTTATTTATGTAGATTAACTAATATTCATGTTCGCACTGATTATGGGAAGGGACATAAGAAAATATTAGTTGGACAAATGTAGATAGTTATAAGTATTGATAATTAAGGAACAAAACAAGAAATTGCCCCATGACTATATTAAAAGAAAGATTAATTGCTAGATATGATAATGGAGTTGGTGAAAGGATTCAATAATCATAACAACCCAAGCAGTTCAGTATAAAAAATAATAACATATGAGGATCATTGATGGATACTATACTAGTTTTGAGTTAAAAATAAATCACATAAAGGAATAATAACCATGGCCCTTATCAAGTATAAGCATGAGCACATACATTGGCACAAAGAGATTCATGATTTAACTAATGTATTTTTTGGTACATCTCTTATAGTAGACCATGCTGGTTCTGTTTAATTTATTTTTGGTGCTTCATACTCCATATTTAAGAAATTATTTAATGCGTTGTGTTCATGTCCTTTTAATTTTTTTATGTATTAGGTGGTCTATTTTATTATCAATTGGAAATGCTACATATGATAGTTCTCTGTGCTTATGGTACTGAATTACTAAACTATAGGTTTGAGTTTGAATTGATGATATTACCCTAAGTTGAAATTGATGTGATTTTCATTGTTTTTCTAAATATTAATTTAGCATAAAGTGCGATAAAATAAGGTTAAGATTGTTTTAAAGGATGATAAGAAGGTTTAGTTTTTAAGGAAAGAAGAAGCCTACTTTTGATGAAGGATGAAATAATTAAATAATATTTTATAAATTGGAGTTTAATGATGAATTTATATGTATATTTATTTCTTAATGATTTACTTGGTTTGCCTTAGGAGAAAGTAGAGTTCACTGTAGATTAAGAGATAAGTATTAGTCCTATTTCTAAGACTCCCTACATAGATAGAGTGTTGATGGTAGGCTTTTGTAAACTTATTTGTATGGTTAAAACTAGTGTCACCCTATGATAAATGCCTTAAAGAAAGAGGATGGATTAATTAGAACTATTATTGATTATAGGCATTGAAATAAAATAACTACTATGAATAGATATATTTTGCTCATGATATATTGTTTATTTGATCAGTTTAGGAAAATAACTAAAATATGATATTAGATAGAACATTAGGCTTTCATAGATTAAATAGGCATGAATGAAACTTAACTAATAGAAGGGCCTAAATAGTAAAAGCATGCAAGAAAGAAATTAAATTAAAATATCAAATTTGTTACACCATACCACATCTTCCTTACACTAATTTATGTGTATGCTTTTAGATTATCCAATTTTATTTCTGTATATATACCTTCATCATCAACTTCTCTTCACCATTGCTCTATAACCTATAACATGCACTTATTTCCTAAATTTTGATGTCAAAGGAAGTTATATTCACTAATATTAGTAGAATTAGAAACTAATGCATGTGTTTGTAGTGATAAATGCAATATCATGCCTTTAAGTAACCATGCATGTCAGTGTGATTATGTAAGATCATACATGTGATGGTAAATGATATACATGCTAGTAAGCTATGAAAAAAATTTTGAGTAAAAGCAAACATTCTAGGTTATTAAAATTATTCATATGATATAAGCTTAATTTTTTATTAAGGTTAACTAATCATACTTAGCTCATTTAAGAAGGTTTAATGCTATATATTAAAAATGTGAAATCATGTAGATTTGTTAGCATCAGAAACACTCAAATTAAAAATTATTATTGATATTCAAATTAAGCTTTATTGCATTAATTTGATAATTAATGACATATGGTTATAATATTAATCATAATTAAAAAACTCAAAAAGTAGAAAAATCAGGTGATCAATTGATCTTTGTAACTCATATAGATGATCCTTATAAGAATGATTAGCCAATTAAATTTATGGCCCAAAAACAAAATAATATTAATAAATATAATTATTTACACATAAAGTAATATAAAAGGAATAAGATAAATATAAAATCTACATGATTATATTCCAAAAAAGTTACAGAATATTTTAATATGTTTAAAAATAAATTTAAATACTTTTAATTAATCTAGTGTTCATCATCCTTGAAGCTTGATAATGATCAAACTGAAACTAATGTAATGAAAAGTACTAAGATATCCACACCAAGATTTTCGAATCTTTGAATTTTGTTACTTGATATGATAAACAAATTGATCTTAATTTTCCAAGTTGCAAATGATCCAAACATGCTTAATGAATATCAAACTAATCTTAAAAATATCTATCATTGTTATTAAATGATGAAACTAGCTATAAGCAAACACTTAGCAAATAACTAGATAACTCTATGTAAGATTAGTTATTACTAGATCAAATAATAACATACATATAAAAGTACTCATTAGAATATGAATCAATCAAACATAATTTTTGTAATTTTAAATCTCATCCCCCATATTATAATTTTAAAATACTCCTAATAGCTAGGAAATGGATTATGAGCTTTAATCCTATTATAATTTAATTTTAGGCAATTTGACTACAGTTAGATCTATCTCTTAACCATAAAGTGACATAAATTTTTAGTATGCTTATTTCAAGTAAATCAGCATTCATGCGTCATCTTTATAAATTTGATCCAAATAGACAATATAGTATTATTTTTCTATATATTACCCAGTGTTATGAGCTAATATGTTTTTTTTTTTTTTTTAATGATGAAGATCATCAAACAGAAGAAAGACAAAAGATCATAAACTTAGACTTCTATGTTCCACCAGACGAGCGATTTAGTCCAACAAAGCTCTCCGAGTTCATTTCCAGCTCTATCCAAGCAGTAATTCACTTCGTGCTTCCAGAGCTCACGTCTTTATTGAAAGGATCAAATATCATTAACTTTGAATCTTTTGATCAAATCTCGAAAGACCTTTACACTAGAAGGAATGTTCAAAGTCGACAAGCAAATATTGAGCGCATCGTTCTCGAAAAGTTGAAGGAGTTTTTGCCAGAGGATATATTCAAGGAAGTCATCAAAATTGCTAAGAATACTACCACCATCAAGTTTCCAATTCCACAAGTTATAGAAGGTAATATCAACTTATATATGCTGTTAGCTCTTTAGTTATTGTAATAATATATAAATTAGTGATTTGTTTTTTTAATGAGACTTTTTTTTTTTTTTAAGTTTGTGTTCTTTTCAATTATTCATTAAGATGATTAACATTGGAGCTGCTCACCATATTATTGGATAGGGCTTATATGTTCTGTGCACAAAAGTTGGAATTCATCAAGCCCATGAGAGTATGAAATGCAATTTCCATTCTCTAAAAACGATCATAAATTCTTGTATGTATGGACATATATTTTCATCTAACATTTCAACTTAAAAGTATAGAATTTATATTTATATGTTCATCTTTTATTATAGACTTGATTATAAACTAAAAAAAAATGATATTCGTTTATTAGATTTAAATGAGAATTTGATTTTTAAGAGGACACAATAGAGAAAAAAGGATTCATATAACTTACCACACTTAGTAGGATAAAGGCTTGATGTTGTTATTGTTGTTGTTGATGATGATGTTCATGTTCTGTTGTACATATGATATATTGCTTTCCATATGTTTAATATATCTATGACATACTACTGTATTATTGCGTAGGATAGTTAAATTAAATACATTATCATATCCCATGTTGTATATGTCTTGGTTTTAACAACAATGTTCCTCTTAATTTAGTTCCTGATTAAGAAATGTCTGTCATATTAATTTGTGCAGTTGATCAGTTTGCATGGAAGACTGATGAGGAATTTGCACGAGAAATGCTTGCAGGGCTTAATCCAGTGGTAATTAAACGATTAGAGGTATGATAAATATTCACTTAATTATAATGTAATGACTTAGGAAAACATGATTTGCAAGAACTTGTAATTCCTTGCTTCCTCAAAAAAAGACAGTTTATTGAAATTTAATTTAAATTATTTAAAGAATATGATAACAAATGTCTCATTTTACACTAAAATATGGTCTTCTTAGCTTATGAGTAGAATTATAAAATAATTCATATTTTTAAATAATAATATAAAAAATTATGCCATAAATAAAATAATAATAATTCATTAAATAAGCATTCCTTATATTTAAAGCAATGTTGAGATTGTTTTATAAATATACGTTTGCTTATCAGTGATGTTTTGAAAACATTATAAACTAACATGAAATAATACTATCTTAAAAACATCTTGTTGAATTTATATGGACAGCCTCTTAAGAAAAAAATCACTTGTCAGTAGATTTGGAATGTACAAAATTAATTTCAGAATTGATATCTAGAAAAATATATGAGGATAAAAAATTATACTTTTGTCAAAAAAAATAGTATAAATTATAGGACATTAAAAAAAATATGCAATACAATATTAGGTACTCTTTTTTTGTATAAGATAAAATTTGAAAATTAAAAAATTTATAACTAATACTTTCTATGTTGAGAGAAAAAAATATTATCCTCTTACTATTTGTGTTAAAAAGTTTTGATACACTTAGGAGCCATCTTAGTTTGGCTAAAATCAAATGAATCATCTATTAAGGATAAAATCACATGCGAGGAAGCTATATCGACAATGAGCTTTGGTATAGGCAATTAGAAATCATCTTGGGATAAGCCTTAATCGAGACGTACAAAAATTTGGCCATTATTATTCTTCACTTGAATTATGCTGACCTATTAAGAAGGATATTTTTCTTCTCAATTGAAGCCAAATATGATTAATTTATTAACTTTGACTATTAGTTGTTGTTCAATTTCTAATCATATACATCGAGTGGCTTGCTATAGAGGAATAGTAGTAGGATGAATTTCATGTTTATGAACTACTATATATGAGGATAATCTAGGCATGTCAAAATAGTCCTTAAACTCAGAAAGTAACAAAATCAAATCATTAGATTCGTTCTCATTATATTTATCAGTTTTGTCTCTTATTTCATAATAATCTTCATCACCCTCATCGTCCTCATTCTCAATCACAATAATGTGATGCCTAGATGAAGATTCATTTTCTTTGCCTTTAAATTGCTTTCGAATGTTGTAGCATTTGTCATAAACACCAATGGCCTTTGCAGCAATAGTTTATGTCAAATCTTCCTCCCCAACAATGAATAGAAGAGTTGGATTTACTTGTTTGAAATATTTTGGATGGTCCAACGCCGAGAATATCATCTTCCATCACAACAAAGTCATATTCTTCGTCAATGATGACATTTGATGTGTCATTAATTTGCTCCTTCAAATCCTTTTTTCTCAATATGGAGCCATGTTTTTCATTCTTTACAGGCTTGGGACAATTATAGCAAGCTCTAGCATTTCTAAAACCTTTAATAAGGTGTTGTTTGTGGTGCGTAATTCCTCCTTTAGTTATTTTGCCAAAAATTATACATGTCATAGTATTATTATTGGCTTCATTAGCCAATATTGCATATTTTAACGCTGGATCTTTTTTTGAAGATTGAATTAAATCTAACATTTTCTATGACCTATAAGCAAGCAAATTCAAAGTCCATCTCACGTGCATGAAGCCTTAAAATCGAATAAGTACACTATTGAACTAAATGATTTTGTTATTTGAGATTAATCAAAATAAAATAGACATTTTAATGAAGCTCATGACTCAAGATTCTTCAAACTTTAAAAATGTTAATTTTAGTATCTTTAGTTGAAAATTATATCAAAATTGAATAGTGATTAGTGTTTGATAGACATTTGCATGAAAAATTTGTTTATTGTAGCAATATTCCAATTTTTCATGCACAACTAAATATTCAGGCAGGCATGTTTGAACAAGCATGTTCAAGATAATCTGAATATATAAAACAACTAAACATATTTGAATACAAGAATTTACAAGGGCATATGTTATCAGTTGTCACATATTTGTAAATTTTTCATATTTGTGCTTTTCATTCATATCATTATGATAGAGGGTAGCGTTGAGCAGTGAATTGTTAGACTATATTGTGAAGAGAGGCAGAATCAGTGTGGAATCCCGTGAAGGGAGGCGAAATTCATGTGGAATATATGAATCAAGCATTAGTGAGGGTTCGCAACTTCGAGTAGGCATGAGGTAGGCGGAATCCGTGCGGGCGTGAGGATTGTGGCTTCGGTTGTAAGGGATCGGGCATGACTCAAGATTGGGGCGTGAGGTTTTTAGGTTTAGTAAATAAATAAATAACTAATAACAAAAAAAATTATTATATTATTTAGAAATTAAAATTATATAAATATTTAAAAAATAACTCATCTAATAAAGCCTAATCTATACTCTTCGTTGTAAATTTCCCAATTATTAAAAATTATTTTCAATTATCTTTTCTTCAATAAAAGACACTTTAATTATTCCAGTATAATCATTTTTAATATATATCCTTCCAAATTTAGCTACACATCCATATGAACATTCTCATTTCTATCATGCTCCTTAAATATCAATAATTTTAAATATTGATGACTTTTTTTGTAGAAGACTTCAATCTATATAGCATTATCAGCCAAATTACAGTATTAGAAATTTTAAAAGTTTCAATGATATCATCTTAAATAAATAATATTTGTCATTGTCCGTTGATTCTATGGTACTAAAGCCATCACAAGCTTTTAATTTTGGTTTAATATATTTTATATCCTATAAATTTTCTTAGTGTTGAGCTTTGCTAATGGTCCAGGTAGATGCCATCAAACCTTGCTTAATTAAATTTTTAACATAAGCAGAATATCAATCAAAAGGTAATTCTATTATTTCATTCATAAAAGGTTCTTCAACTTTTATATTGAATTTAGAGCTTGAAGACGAAGGGGGAAAAAATCTTAGAAATCTTACGATATTCTTTATTTATACTAGGAACAACTTTAATTGTAAACCCAACAATAGTGTACTTAAACAATGTGGTTAAAGTTTGACATGCTCCTTATTCTTCTTGAAGATAGATAACTTAGAATCATCCTTGACTTTTTTCTTGGACCCTATCCTCTGTCTTACTCTATAGATACATTGAATATTAGGTTTGGCATTGACTTGATATTGAATTTATTTATTTATTTTTATATATTTTTATTACCTATGATTTATCCTTCAAGTTGAATTCCAAATCAGCTTTTGCATATACTCACTTATATATATATATATATATTCTCTCTTCCTCTACCATAGACCACAAGCTCCTCAAACTATTCTACCACATTGTTGCACAAGAGAGGAATGATGTCGATGAGCTGCATGTCCAATGCCTGAATTTCTTTCTTTTCTCACTTTTTTCCACTTAATTTATATATATATATATATATATATATATATATATTCTCTCTTCCTCTACCATAGACCACAAGCTCCTCAAACTATTCTACCACATTGTTGCACAAGAGAGGAATGATGTCGATGAGCTGCATGTCCAATGCCTGAATTTCTTTCTTTTCTCACTTTTTTCCACTTAATTTATTTTTCTTGTATTTGCACCTTTATTGTTGATGTCTCTAGACAACACTACTTGTTTTTTTAGCAGAGAATATGGGTCACTCTCTTAGATCCTAATTTCATGAATCGAGCATGATTACAACTACCCCTTGATGCAGTGCTCGACACCATCTTGAGAATATTTGATGCATTGGTACATGGAAGTGGGAACAATTTTTATTAATGAAACTAGGTTCTACCCAGAAAAGTGTTGAAGGAAATTTGAATAAATAATGAAAACTTAGCTTCTATATTTAGATCATCAATTTTTAGAAGAAGAGTTACATAACCCAAAGCATAATGCCCTTTTAATTGAAGCATTATAACCTGATATTATCTGAGCTAAGCTTGTGGGTATCAAACTTCAGATAGGTAAGAGTAATTAAGTCATAATGTTGACCAATGCATCTAAATCAACAAGCACACAAGAGATTAGTCAAATTCATTAAGTCGTGAAGGGGAAAATCATGTTTGATAGTTCCTAGAAAAAAACTATTCATTAAAAAAAGTAACCCAAAAACTTCCTAGAACTAAAGAGCCTCATCATTAGATATTATTGTTAACTAGGCCATAAAAGTTTTATAATTGAGTAAAGTCTTGACTAAGGCTTCCCCCATCTTCTTATAAAGAATAAGGACATCAAACATGTTCAATTTGTAGGCATCTTACTAAGATGGTTGAGAAAATTATAATAACCTTGAGAACCCCACCATTAGTGGTATCTTGAGTAGGTGTATGTTGTAGTGGGAGCAAAGATTATGAATTTGTAATTACTTATTTCCCTTATTTTTAGGTTTCATTCTAGGCAGTAGAGCTTTGCCACTAGGATGGTTGACTTCCATAATCTTCTCAAATATAGAGATTAGAGTGATGTTTACCTAAGCCTTAATAATGCTCAATTTATGTTCCACCAAACTTTTCAAAATTTGACAAATGAACCTCTAAACTAATAGGCGTACCCTAAAATTAAAGACAGAGCCTCATTATTAGAAGCATATTCAAGAGATTTATTAAGTTAATTATAATTAGCAAATTTAGAACTATTTTTGGTTATGTTAGCCAAGTAATTCATATCATTCTCATAAAAATTTGACAAGTCAAACATAAAATCCTTTTTCATTGATCCTTTTATTTTTGGGGGAATAAAGTAAATGTCATATAGAATGAGCAACACAAGGACTTTAGCTTCCTCATTTGTGATGAGTACAATTTTATTTTTCATTTTTTTATTTTAAATTTCTTTATTTTTTCCTGCACCACTGGACTCTCGCTGATTTAGCCTTCCACTGGCTTTAAAGATGAAGTTATACCCAAGTTATCCTCAAGAATTAGCTAATCAAGTTTGTTAGGTATTCTCT